GACAGCATAACAAATCAAAGTTCTGATGACAGTTTAATTAAGAGGTCATCAAAATATTTTGTGTTAGAACAACTCAAATCAGATTGCTGTTAACAAGATTTAATTCTAATTTTTCTCCCGCCTACATGCAGTTTGAAAGTTTCTCTTCAAGTAATTCGCATTAGTCTTCAAAATTACCTTGGCATTGTCCATGATTTCGCACAGATCAAACCGGAACTGTAAATAAGCGATCAAACCCTCGTTACACGTTCGACATTAATTAACCAAATAGTTGGAAGCCATTTTGAAACGTGCTCGCTTGGTTGAAATGAGTATGTTTAGAAACAATATATCGGTAATTTCCCTTCAGTATGAAGTGTAGCTTAGACATAAAATAAGGGTCCTTAAGAGGAAACCAGCTCTGAATGAAAATGCTGATTTACATCGCGATATCCTCTTCTGGGTAAACTCCATGATCGAAGACGCACTGTTCTCGAGATTTTCTGGAACAAATGTATATCATTGTGGGCATAATTAGGTAGTTTAAAGTGTAGCGTCCCTCAGAGTGTAGTCAATCAGAAATCAAGTCATTCTTGAAGGACGCAAAGACGTGATCGTCACAGCTATCGAACTATTCTTGATAAACTCCAAACACAACACAGACAGCAAAAAGAGAGTCGTTATGGTAGCTCTCTGATACAAATGTATCACAGTCAGTGTCCCAGATGGAACGGCTGGCAATCCTCACATCCTGTCCTTTGACTTGCCCAATCGTCACGGAACACACAAACTTAAACCGAGCGTAGCCGAGATGTTTCAAGTCACCCATGATTGAGTTGGACATACCTTTAGCGAGCTCCCTACATCTCTTAGCCTCGTATATTTGCGACTCTAGCGACTGTAGATGCTGAACAATGATGCTTTTAACTTCCTCAGCGCTAATTCGTTTCTCTGGCTTCATTTTGTAAGTGTTCTCCGCGACTGTTGTGGCTCTAGGGCGCGCTGAGTGCGTTGAAGACGACGCTTGCTCGACATTGCCAACGGGACAGGAGAAAAAGGTCATTACGAAATTCCCCTTTTGCGGAGGTACTTTCGGCGCGGGGAAGAACAGACTTGAAGCACTAGAGCTACTTCGACGGGTGCGGCGACCTTCCATCATGTAGAATCGTCACAAAATTTAGGAGACATTGACGAAATCGTCACAAGATATCTCCCATAGTTTCCATACAGGATAATGTGAAACACCCTTAGCGACTGATGTACACGGCTAGAAATTTGATATTAGAAATCATGACAACCAGTTTAGACACGTGGAGATCTAAAATTGGCAAATTGTAGCGCAATTTTCTTTCTAGATATGTGTTATCATTTTAATCCCTTTTAACATGACTTGGATTTGCCTTCAAATTACCCACAGATTTCCCTTTTTAGC